TTACTTTACTTAATAAGAAAGGAAAAAAGATTATTATTATTCTAGAATTCTAAGATCCATGAATATGCGAAAAGACTAATTGTAAGATAATATATTTAACTTCAATTTAACTTTAAGTTAATTCTTGTGAACTTATCATACTTCGTTGAATTTATGAATTACAATTAAATAGAAAGATATTAAATTTGTATTACTCAAGAATGTTAATAATTTGAAATTTTCTCTTATTCATAGATATAAAAAGAATATTTGAACGTTCATAATCCTCGTCGATAAACGAACGAGAAAACAAGCAAAAAAAGGAAAAAACAAAAAAGAAAAGAAAAAAATAACAAAATAAATAAATGGAAAACATTATTACAGCGGAAATTAATAAACAATTCAGAAGTTCAATTTCATGGAAAACCAAACGTTTCATTACGGTGAAATTTTGAATGGCACAAAGTCAAAACAGGTAATGGCGGTAACATACCACGGTTCCACGGCGGCAAGTGGGGCATAATAAATTTAGGTATCGATCGAGCGGGAAGAGCGCGCGATCTCTCGACCGGCGCACACCAACGCGAAATATTGTTCCACGTGAAAATAACAAGACCGCGTTTTCAAATTATGGACAATCTCGCGGAATTCACTTTTATGAGTTAGACATGATCAATATCTAGTTTATACAGATGCGTTGGGAATACAACTATACGCTGATGATTTATGATTGATTAAATCTATTACCATTATCACTATCACTATCGTGAACTAGAAGCAAAAACTCGAAAAAATAATTAGATACGTATTTTTTTTTTTTTTTTATTGTGAAAATATTATAAATGATATGTACAAACATGTATTATTATAGTGTTATTATTTAAATAATAGATTTAATATCTAGATAGTAGATTTAATAGATAATAGATGCAGATCCATTTTTTACAGTTTTTTAGTTATTATGTATAAAATACGTCCTGCATCGTTTGATGCACGTTTGAAGCACATACCATAAAAAACGAGTGATTTACTGCAGATTTTTCTCCCTTCTATTTCGCGCAAATATGTACTTCAAATTTATAAAATCGCAAAAAAATTGAAATACTCAATTGAATAACTATTGCCTGAAAAATATATAATTTTTTTATATATTCTCTTCTTAATATTAAATCAAATCAATAATTTCACAAGACATTTTTTAATTTCCATAAAATTGATAAATATAGATCCCTGTTTCTGACTAAATCTTTATCCAAACATCTAGATATGTGCTAACCATAGATTTTTTATTTCATTTTTTCATAATACAAATCGTATATAAATTGGGAAACCGAAAAATTTTCACTTTTTATATCACGTGACAAAATTTAAATTACTCAACCTTCTTTCGCACCGAAATCAGTGTATGAACACGTGGCTCACTCAGTCGAGGTAGAAAGTGCTTACTAGGGGAGAGTATAGGATGAGTGGAGAATGGGGTGCATGGACATTGGCCGGACATCGGAATGGGAAACGGGTTAGCCGAATGACCGGTGGTCAGAATTATGGGGGTGGTGAATTGCGAATCCGCCGCGTCTCCATGCCAAAAACAATGCACGCAGTAAAACGATAAATGGTGAGACAGCCTTATAAATGTCTACTCGACTATACCATTGTCGCGAGAAACTTTACAAGACTCTGGGATATAAGTATAAATTTT